GAGCACCTCACTACACGGAGGGAGCTACACACTCACTCTTATATATAGTGATGGATGGGGGAGGTAGGGAGGGGGAAAAGGAATGGAAAGGGGAAGGGAAGACGGAGGGAAGACAGGGGGAGGAGAGGGGATAGAAGAGAGGACATTAAAGGTTTTTCATTCTTCTTCCTCGACTCCTTCCAAAAAACAAACAAAATTTCTCTATTATTATCATCATTATTATATATTCTTCTTCTTCTTTTTGTTTACTATTATTATTTATTAATTTTATTATTGTTGTTGTTATCTTACCTGTTTCTTCTCATTGTTTTCCATCCCTCTCCTCCCCATATCTTTCCCTCTCATTCTCTCACTTCTTCTCTGGCTCCGAACCCTAATCTTCCCCTTTTCTCATCTTCCCATTCTTTTACCTTCCCGTTCCCTCTTCTTCCATCTCCTTACCTCATCATCGTCTCCCCTTCTCTCCCCTCATCACCCCCTCCCCTCCTCTCCCCTCATCATCCCCTCCCCTCATCTCCCCTCCCCTCCCCTCCCCTCCCTTCACTTCTCCCATTAAGACAATAATTATATAAATTTTGGTAAAATAATTTCCACTTTCCTAATAAATCTTGTGGGTGCTCACTCACCTAGTTCTGGTTGCGGGAGTCGAGTCTTAGCTCCTGGACCCGCCTCTCTGCTGGTTGCTGTTGGGTTTACTCTCTTTTGGCTACGTGAGCCCTATCATACCTGTTCTTAAAGCTGTTTGGATTCTGCCTCTACCACTTCGCTGTCTACGACGTTCCACTTCCTGACCACTAAGGCTATAGAATTATTTCCTAACATTCCTGTGGCTCATCGATGCCTTTGGCTTCCCGTTGTGACCTGAGTCCAGCCTCTTAAACAGATTCTCCCTGTTACCTTCTCTCATTAACTTTTACGTCGTAATCATGACACTTCTGATTCGTCTGTCCTGAAAGCTGCCCTTAAATTTGCCAGTCTCGGTTACTCATCTGTTTGTCTCCGGTGAGATGCTCAGAACTATGCTCACCCTGAGGTTCTTGTTTTCCAGGAAGGTTTGCAGCCTTTGTCCACTGGGCCTGTAAACTACTTCCGGACGTCTCTGTTTTTCTTAACTTTTCTGATTTTCTTAACTTGGTATTTGCTGTGGTAAAATTTCAATAGCCATTTATCAGAGCAATTCTGCAGCTTCTCTAGATGCATTTGTAGTCTTTCCCGGTCAACTCCTGTTTGTATTCTCCATTACTTTAACGTCATTTGCGAAAGGGACGCCTCTGACTCGATATTCTTTGTCATGTCGTTTATATACATAAGAAACGGTACTGGTCCAAGTACTGACCCTTGTGGAACCCTACTCCTTCCCCTCACCCATTCCAACAACTCCTCCCTGAAACAGTAACTCGTTATTGCCTCCCTATCCAGCATTCTATAATCCACTACTGTGCTTTTCCTGTACATCCAGCCTGCTTCATTATTTTTTGTACCAGTCTCTTGTGGGGTACTGTACTTCCTCTTGGGATAAAACAAAAAAAACATATACAGTCCTGCCATCCATCTCTATCCTGTCTAACTTTCGTTACCTTATTATAGAACTCTAGCAGATTTGTGAGAGAGGATTTATGATTTGGAAAACCTTGATGTTTGTTGCTTATGAATCCACTGCTTTCCAGGTGATCCGCTGCTCTCCTGATACTCTTCATAACCTTAGTGACACTGATTTGTAATTTAATATCACCTGCTGGTTCTCTTTTTATAAATACACAGACTATATTTGCTGTTTTCCAGGCCTCTGGCAGTTACCCTGTATCAAACAACTAGTTGAAAATCGCTACTAGTGGTTGACACAGTTCCTCTGCTCGCTCGTACAAAACCTCAGGAGATATGTTGACTGATCCCTTGCTTTCGAGGTATCTAGTTCACTCAGTATTTCATCACCTTTCCTCCAGTTGTCTGTATGTCCAGCACTCGATGGTGCACTGTCTTCCTTTACTCTCAGCAAGTGTTCCTCATTATACTAATACCTCCCTAATGTTTTGTTCAGCTCCTCAGAGACTTCCTGGTCACTCCTACTGAGCTTCTTTTGTACCTCAGCCTTATTACCTGGTCCTTCACAACTGTCTGCCTTGTGAAGTGGCTCAGTGTGTGTGTGTGTGTGTGTGTGTGTGTGTGTGTGTGTGTGTGTGTGTGTGTGTGTGCGTGTGTGTGTGTGTGTGTGTGTGTGTGTGTGTATGTGTGTGTGTGTGTGTGTGTGTGTACTCACCTATTTGTACTTTCCTATTTGTGGTTGCAGGGGTCGAGTCTTAGCTCCTAGCCCCGCCTCTTCACTGGTTGCTACTAGGTCCTCTGTCTCCTTGCTCCATGAGCTTTATCAAACCTCGTCTTAAAACTATGTGTGGTTTCTGCCTCCACTACATCACTTGCTAGGCTATTCCACTGCCTGACAAATCTATGAAGAAATACTTCCTAACATCCCTTTGACTCATCTGAGTCTTCAACTTCCAATTATGACCTCTTGTTTCTGTGTCCCCTCCCTGGAACATCCTCTCTTTGCCCACCTTGTCTATTCTGCGCAGTATTTTATATGTCGTTATCATGTCTCCCCTGACCCTCCTGTCCTCCAGTGTCGTTAGGCCAATTTCCCTTAACCTTTCTTCATAGGACATTTTCCTTAGCTCTGGAACTAGCCTTGTCTCAAACCTTTGCACTTTCTCTAATTTCTTGACGTGCTTGATCAAGTGCGGGTTCCAAACAGGTGCTGCATACTCCAGTATGGGCCTGACGTACACGGTGTACAGTGTCTTGAACGATTCCTTGCTAAGGTATCAGAACGCTGTTCTCACGATTGCCAGGCGCCCATATGCTGCAGCAGTTATCTGGTTGATGTGTGCTTCCGGAGACATGCTCGGTGTTATACTCACCCCAAGATCTTTCTCCTTGAGCGAGGTTTGCAGTCTTTGGCCACCTAGTCTATACTCCATCTGCGGTCTTCTGTGCCCTTCCCCTATCTTCATGACTTTGCATTTGGCGGGGTTAAATTCGAGAAGCCAGTTGCTGGACCAGGTGTCCAGTCTGTCCAGGTCTCTTTGAAGTCCTGCCTGATCCTCATCTGATTTAATTCTCCTCATTAACTTCACATCGTCTGCGAACAGGGACACTTCTGAGTTTAACCCTTCCATCATGTCGTTCACATATACCAAAAATAGCACTGGTCCTAGGACCTACCCCTGTGGGACCCCGCTCGTCACAGGTGCCCACTGTGATACCTCATCACGTACCATGACTCGTTGTTGCCTCCCTGCCAGGTATTCTCTGATCCATTGAAGTGGCCTTCCTGTTATACGTGCCTGATCCTCTAGCTTCTGCACTAATCTCTTGTGAGGAACTGTGTCAAAGGCCTTCTTGCAGTCCAAGAAGATGCAATCAATCCACCCCTCTCTCTCGTGCCTTACTTCTGTTACTTTATCATAAAACTCCAGAAGGTTTGTGACACAGGATTTGCCTTCCATGAATCTGTGCTGGTTGGCCTTTATACTCTTGTTCCGTTCCAGGTGCTCCACCACTCTCCTCCTGATAATCTTCTCCATAACTTTGCATACTATACACGTCAGTGACACAAGTCTATAGTTTAGTGCCTCTTTTCTATCTCCTTTTTTAAAAATGGGAACTATATTTGCCATCTTCCATGCCTCAGGTAGTTGCCCAGTTTCCAGGGATGTGTTGAAGATTGTGGTAAGTGGCACACACAGCATATCCGCTCCCTCTCTAAGAACCCATGGGGAGATGTTGTCCAGTCCCATTGCCTTTGAGGTATCGATGTTCCTTAGCAGCTTCTTCACCTCCTCCTCATTTGTATTTATGTCATCCAACACTTGTTGGTATATTCCTTCCTGGTGTCCCCTCTATTCTGTCCCCCAGAGGCCTTCCTGTCTCCACTGTAAATACTTCCTTAAATGTCATGTTGAGCTCCTCACATACCTCTTGATCGTTTCTTGTGAGTTCTCCACCTTCTTTCCTCAGCCTGATCACCTGGTCTTTGACTGTTGTCTTCCTCCTAATGTGGCTATACAGCAGTTTCGCGTCAGACTTGACTTTCGATGCTATGTCGTTTTCGTATTGTCGCTTGGCCTCCCTCCTTATCTGTGCATACTCGTTTCTGGCTCTTCTACTAATCTCCTTATTTTCCTGGGTCCTTTGCTTCCTGTACCTTTTCCATTCTCTGGTGCACTTAGCTTTTGCCTCCCTACACCTTCGGGTAAACCAAGGACTCGTTTTGGTCTTCCTATTATTTCTGTTTCCCTTGGGAACAAAACTTTCCTCTGCCTCCTTGCACTTTGTTGCCACATATTCCATCATCTCGTTTACTGATTTTCCTACCATTTCTCTGTCCCACTGAACCTCCTGTGTAGTCCCCCCTTTTGTAGTTTGGCCTGACCCCTTCAGTTCCTGTTACCTTCTCCACTTGTAACTCTACTATATAATCAAAACTCAGCACCACATGATCGCTAGCTCCAAGGGGCCTCTCGTAAGTGATGTCCTCAATGTCTGAACTGCTCAGGGTGAACACAAGATCCAGTCTTGCTGGCTCATCCTCCCCTCTCTCTCTGGTTGTGTCCCTGACATGTTGATGCATGAGGTTTTCAAGTACCACATCCATCATCTTGGCTCTCCATGTTTCGGGACCCCCATGTGGCTCCAGGTTTTCCCAGTCGATCTCCCTGTGGTTGAAATCGCCCATTACCAGTAACTTTGCTCTGCTCGAGTGAGCTCTTCTTGCCACCTCAGCCAGTGTGTCCACCATCACCCTGTGTGTGTGTGTGTGTGTGTGTGTGTGTGTGTGTGTGTGTGTGTGTGTGTGTGTGTGTGTGTGTGTGTTTGTGTGTGTGTGTGTTTGTGTGTGTGTGTGTTTACCTGGAGAGAGTTCCGGGGGTCAACGCCCCCGCGGCCCGGTCTAGTTAGTTTAGTTTAATATGTTTATTATGCACCACATACCCATCCTGTGGGCG